GTTGGCTTCAAATTGTTAATTAACCAGCTATTAAGCATCACTGAATAATCTTGTAACTTCATCAAGTTCCTCTAAAGCAATGCAAGGTGATGCTTCACTCACCTGGAGAAATTAAAATTGAAAATGTAAGATGAAGTCAGAGTGCTAGTCTCTGTTGGCAGGCTCCAAAAATAATTATTTGAAATAAGAGCATAGTTTGCCTATCCTTGAAAGCCCTCATGAGAAGATCTAAGTGGGTCAGCATTCAGAAAAGGTGAGCACAGCTTACCCCAGCTCCTTTCTCCTTGCAGGCTGAACCAGCTCAGTGGGACAGGCAGGGAGAAAAGTGCATGGGCTCAAGATGCTTAGCACTGGAAAAAAAAATCCTTCCTGTTTAACAGCTGAAGATACTCTATACTGCCTGGAAACTGTGATAAGAAACAGAACAGTGCTTTAGAGATACCATGCCTTAAATTTTGAATAATGTACTACCATGATGTTTAAAATAGCTAAAGTGCAAAGTGATCGTGCAGGCATAAAAGGGCACACTGGTTACATGAAGCATAATAATGTACCATTCAGCAAAGCGACATGTTCCATGTAGAAGATAATGTACTGCATGAAATCAGTAACATGGAGCAGAGTGGAGAAGAGTTTAAAAGAGCAGATGAGAGCAAGAAATAATACCAGAGGGTAGCACATGATGATATATGACATGTGGAGGAAATAAAAGAATTAGATTGAATCTCTGGGAAGATTGAAGTTCTCCATGAGGAGATAAATACAATCTAAAACAAAGATATTCAGTAGGAAGGAGCTACTTACGAGGCAATCATGTTGAAAGTGCCTAAGTGGGTAGCAAATCAGACAGAAGCATGCAATGCAATTGAAAAATAAAAGTATAAATGGCAATGTGATTTGGGCTGTGCTGTGACAAGGAGGCAGAAAGGGACACGTCTTCACACAGCACAGAGCCCGTGCTCAGTTGGAAACATTATCTTTGGGAGCCTTGCTAACAGCTGTAGTGATCAGAGGTGACAGTGAAGAGGAACAAGAACTGCACAGAGAAATCTGGGACGCAGAGGAGTGAGACCTACATGGGAAGAGAATTAAGTCAGTCTCCATCTGAGTGGCATAAAGCACACGGATGGCTGATGGCAAACAACTCATGCAGGGAAGCGCGGCAGACCGTAAGCACAGCAAGGCTGAGACTGACCACGTGAAATCTCACCCTGAATTTCAGGGATAAAAAAGGTCAGTAAAGCCGGTCCACCTAGAAAGGTATTTTGTCATGTTGGAGGCATTTGTGTGACCATTCCCTCACGATACGCCAAAGGAACGAAGGGAAGCCTATCGTACCATGCATCATCCCAGTTTGTGGCAGAGGGCTCTGGGGATTACTGCTGGCCACGCTGATGTCGTCCATTGTAAGGAAGAAGGGCTGAGATGCACCAGAAGGTTCTTTCATCTTTTCTTTCTTCGGCTCTGCCCTGAGGCAAGGCTTGCTCACTAGCTCACCGTGTCTCAAGTACTGGGGGTGGCCAGTGGGTGTCAGTTTTGCTCTATGAAAGAGCTGATGGAGCTTCCCTTGTCTAAAGGAAGAAACTATTCGAAGGAGGCAGTGGAAAAAAAATCAGTGAGGAGAAAAACGTTTCTATGCTGAGGAGGTCAGCCCCACGGTTTGGTATTTTGTTTTTTGTTCTTTTTAATATGTCCCACTTTGCTTTGAGCAGTCACAGATATTATATTGTAGGGAAGTCTCAATTGTTCCTCTTTCAGTACCTCCAACATTAGGTTGATGACAACTCAGTGAGAATTTTTCAACAGAGGTCTTTCATCAAGAAGAAGCCACCATCTGCGGTCAGAAGAATGCTTTATTTCAAAAGGTCATACGTGCAAATGTGCAAAAACCTTGCAAGAACCTGCAGAAATAACCAGAGAGTCATGATTCTGTTGTCAGCCTATGAAGGCAGCTCAGTGCAGTGTGGAAATCACTTTATGATCAAGTCAGTGATAAAGTCTTATGGATGCTTTGGTTACAATGTCCATGGAAAAACATCTTCATATTTTAAGGGTCATTTTCAGTGCTATTTTTAACCAAACTTTGGAGCTGAACGCAAAATTATACCCCTTTTGAATTAAAAACTAAGCCAGCAAACCCAAAACAGCAACAAGCTCCTACCAGAGGCATTCAGCTTCCTCATGCAGTAAGTTGAGACCCAGTACTTCTGTATAGCCTCGCTATAAACTCCATTTTGCATTAGGACAGTTCTGTTCTGGGAAGCACTCTTCAGCAGTGTGGCCCAAGCAATTCAGAGAAGAATTTTTAAGATAAAAATGATGATCTTAATATCTGCAAGGTTTTAATTATTTATTTATGTCCTGATTATAGCCCTATAAACTCTGAATCTTTATTTTTCACTGTAGACGTTAGACTGTTCCTTTTCAGCTGAAGTCAGTAGGAAAACTTCTATTGAGACTTGTGCTATAAGCTCAGGCCTACTATGACAAGTTTAGCCATGGTTTCACTACCCAAAATCTTAATTAGGAGAATCCCCAGTGTTGCTAATAAACAGCAACATTTGTTCTTCCAGATCTCAGAAAGAATTACAATGTATTAGCAGAAGCCAGTAGGAAAAGACTGTATTTGTCATAGAGGGACCTAGTGATGTCTTCATTGATTTGAACACCCTAAGGAGAACTAGCAAATGCAAACACCACCCTCTTAAAAAACAAACAACAAGGGAAAAAGATGGATTTTCAAACCACAAGAATGAAGTTATGTTTTCTTTGCTCGCACAGTTATGTGTGGGTAATGTCTAGGTGTAGAGAAATGTTGTTTCTTTACTTGAGTAAAATAAGAACACATAAAAGTGAGAAATTAAGAAATCCTCACCACCAAGCAAAACAATCTGAAAAAAAAAAACTGTATCAGTTCTGTTGCTGGAGGGAGGCAGCAGATTGTTACAATAAAAACCAATAGGCAGCTCTTAAAGGCTGTGGTCAAACACTGTTTAATGTAACACTGGCAGCAGAGTAAAAAGATGCTAATGTTTTATTTTAATTATCTGAATTGTTGCCTGTGGTTAATCAAAGTTAACCTGAATCCACTTCAAAAACGATTATCTGGCCGGTTAATTTAAGGCATCCATATCTTCACCAGCACCAGGACACCTGTACGATGACCCTGATGGGCACAGAGGAGGCATGCAAAAACCCTGTTTTTAAAATACTCCCAACTATCCACTTCCACGGCTTCCAGCCATAGCCAAGTCCCAGCCCTTTTCCTGAGGCATTCCTGATTTTTAGCAGAGTTGACAGAGGAGCCAAAATATTATCGTTTTCTAGGCGATGAACTTGAAGTACAAACCAGGATATTCACCCATTTTAAGTGTAGTTTAGCCCAGCTGATTTCTCCAGCCTCCTTCTGTAGTCACTGGGGAAGGAAACGCCCCTCTGTGGAATTTAATGTTGGTGCTTGGAGTTGCAGCCTGGATGGATCAATCTTTTTCCATGGACTTCAGAAGCAGCCTGGAAATATGAGGCCAAAGAAGGTGCCTATTGCTGTTGTAAATGGAGGGGGAAATGAACATCCTTCTCCAGAACAGGTAAGTGAAAGCAGTGATCCAAGCTTATGGTCAGTCTCCAGGCTGTGCTTCACCTCTGAGATGAGACAGTGTAAGGCTTTGGCTCAATTGTGCCTCTTCAGGAGGCAGAGAGCTGGGCGTTTCTGTTTTTTCAGTTTTATGCTTTGGCTTCATTACTCATGCATGAGACTCTGACAACATACTGTTTCTGCAGTGATCAGAGCAGCGTTGATCAAACATGAATGGGGCAGAGGGGACTGACCCCTGCCCTGCTCCCCTGCATCAGATCATAGCACATCCACACACATTCAGGAGTTGGTGTCAGCCTGGAAGATGCCCCACAACCTCTCCTGGGCTTTCTAAAAGCATCAGCATGATGCTGGAAAAGTAGTGAAGAGCCAAGAACTAGTGATAGTGAAGTACATCCCAGGAAATCTGTGCTGACTTTCCAGGGCTGTGGGGTGAGCCCTGGCTGATGATGTCTGTGCCCTGCTGGCTCAGTGTTTTCTTGGAGCTCCTGGACTCCAAGGGCCACTGGTGCATGGCTGCCCTTTGAGAGGTAGCTTGCGTTCGAGAACATGTTCTTATCCCTCAAACCTTTGCCAAGTTACAGAGAATTCCTCCTTACAAGCTCAGATATGTAAGCATTGGGTGGCCATATCTATTCTGTCATTCACACAGAATGAGAACTACAAATGTAGCTACAGTGTACCAGGCTGAGCCCTACAAGGCCTGTTCCTGTGCTGTTTGCAGCCTAATTTGGTAGCATCAAGGAAGGTGTTTATAAATGTCTTCTGTTCTATAGAGGCCCCTTCAAACCTAACTGGAGGCACTTGACCTTTTGGGATTCACGTTAATTCTGTCAAAGAGAAACGTGAGGAGGACTCCATTCCCACCAAATGTTTAAATGTTGCAAAGCCATGTTTATGGTTATTTGTCATTGAATGTTCCCTGGTACTTTGCAGTGCTAAACCCAACCAACACCTGTAATTTTTACCAACTTTCAGCAGCAACTGCCTAAGTGCCTCCATCCTTCAGTAAAGTAAATGGTTCACCATACTTTTGAAGTATACACTACTATGCTGTTCCCTGTTCAACACTGGATGTATTCATTTCTGCTGGTATTGAGATTTCTGGTCATAAGCAAAGTAAAGTTGGACTCTTAATTTTGGTGAAGCACTAAGTGGGATGCTAGGTCATGAATAAATCCTCATTGTGCTAGGGGCTGTGCAAAGAATAGAGATGAACCCAGCCTCAAATATCCACACTTAGTAGCTCATGTCATAATTAAAAAGTTGTTAGGACACTTCAGAATCTCCCTACCTCGTAAGTGATGCATCCATATACATTTCTATCTCCATAATAAAATAGAAAACCTGTACACTTTTATTGTTGATAATAAAACATAAAATACGATGCTATTTTCCAGCTAACCTGAATACAGCAATTGGAGCACCTGGGGAGAGGAGGAATCTTCATCTCTTGCACTCCTTTGGTTTATATATACCTCAAGTTCCTCACCTGATAGAAAGAAGCAGAATTTGTTGTGGAAATTGTCTCACACAGAGCACACTGAATTCAGGTGGAGAGTGCAGAGCAGGAACTCCTGCCCTTCTAAGAATCAAATGCTGTGCATTAATGAATAAAGCTCTAACAGTAACGATAAGAGAAGAAAATACAGCAACCACGTGATGCGTTAGCAGAATGTCTTACAAAGTCCCCCACAAAGCATCCGCTGCTCTTGAAAAGCCTAACCAGCCCAAGTGAGAAACTATTCACAAATTTAGTATTCAGATTACACACTCCGTCTTTTCAACCGCTCTCTGTACAATGAATGCCTGTACAACTACAGTAACAGACACAGATCTACAGTTTCTGTGGCCTTTGAGCTATTATGAGCATTGTGCCTCTCCATAAATTACATCTGCATGTCCTGAAAATACCAACTGTTTTAATAGGAATTAATCTATAGGCTTTTATCTTGCTGAAATACAAGGGGTGCAGTATGTTGAGTCGCTTTTAAAATTAATAGGGTATGGCCTGAAAATATTCAAGGATGTTCATTATTTTCTTTATAGGTCTCTTTATTGGTGCATATAAGCATAAAACAGTGCCTTTTTGTAGTAAAGAGGAGGAGATGGAATACTGAATAGATTAGTGCTTATATGGTTGTAGATTGCCCGACACAGTTAAGTAAAGAAAGGTCTACGTTTGTCCTGTTCAAAGTATATTGGGATTCGATCCAATTTGTCGTCAAAGTACCCCTTCTTGGTTAGAAAAGAGAGGATTCAGTCTGAAGGCATGAAAGCTGACCCGGAGGTCCTTTGCTCAGTGGTGTTCATAGCTGTCCAAGGCAGCAGTGTGGTAGATATGCCTTTTTTAATTTCCTAAATCTGAATAAACCTTGAGCTTTTGCTGTGATAAGCCATTATTTATGTAGATACCTAACACAAAATTTTGGAGAGCTAACTCCTAGAATGCCTTGACCTTATAAAAGCACACGAAATAATGAGAACCAGATAATTTAAAACAGAATTTACATAAAAAGCCTTTTTGCTTGCATTGAATAGTAACGTGTGCGAATGCACACACACACAAGTTAAATGCATATATAGTTAAATACTCTGCTGAAAACAGGCTGAGCCCATCACAGACCTATCGAAGCATGTTACTGATGAGCAATAAGGCATTAATTTCTCCTCCCAGCCTCCCTGTTAAATTGGGCAGCTCTGTTGCCTCCAGCACAGCGAGGGAGCTCTGAGGCCCACAGTTACCCTGGGGACACGTCAAGTCTCAGGACTGGGTGGCTGTTCCCTGGGCAGCGGGGCTGTTGTGGCAGAGCACTGTCTACAGCAGGCATGGCTGTGTGAGGGCTGCTTAGGTCTTGTGGATGGAAACAGAGGGGAAAGGAGATCCAGATATAGCTCTCTGAAAGATTTGCCCAAGTAGCTTCTATAGCATGGCAGAAGTCTGCGGCAAAGCTGAGAGCTGCTTTCAGGCTATTTCTCAGCTGAAGTAAAACCTCTCGTTGCATTATTTGCTGCAATTTAAAAACAGAAGTGAAACGTAGAGGAATAATGACTTAATTGATATCACACAGAGGACTTCTGAACGCGGTTGGATGTGAACACTGGTGTCCTGATCCCTAAAACCACCTCTTGATCCTCAAGGTTGTCACAGCTGCTCCAGAGAGTATAATGTGGGGGCAGTTGTGTGGTTGATGGAAATCACTGGAGCTCTCGCTGCAGCCCCTGAGCTGTGGCAGAGCTGAATTTTGCAATAAAACCAATGACTCACCCTATGCCCATGTTGCTGTAGTAAAGATGCTCTCATCTCTGCAGTCTTTAGACTTAACAAATTAATTTTTAAGGGTGAACCCTTTCAGGTTAGTGTCTGTCCCCTGCTTTTCCTTTGGTCACTCTTGCCTGTTTTCACAGCTTCATTTGGTTTTGAAAGCTTATGGAGCAGCGGGATTAAAACCAGAAATAATTACTGCAGAGGACGGGTCTGGTTTTTCCCATCAGCTTCCATGACTCAAGCCGGTTCCAACAGCTTTGGGAGAAAAGCTGTTAGTTATTAAATTATTACCTGTAAGGAGAGCCAGCTGGAAGCTTTCAGCTTTCAACGTTTTGATAAAAAGCGTCATAAAAATCTTGACAAAACGACAAAACTTCCAGCATTTCAACGACACCTTTTACATTTACCCATGCTTTCCAATGCCTTGTACGAGCTATCGAAAGCCTCCCAGACCTGCATCTCGGGAATTTTGACCCCACGGTGACAAAAAAAAAAAAAAAAAAAAAAAAAAAAAAAAAGTGCAAAAACATGAAGTGTTTGCTGTTCAGTGAATTCATTTGGACAGCTTTTGGGAAGTCACTTTCCATCTGGAGGAGAACGTCCACAAGGAGAGTTATAACGGTAACGGTGTAATTACACAGCTATAGCTATGCCAGTCTATTTTCTGAGGTAGGCAAGCCAAGTCTAGTTGCTGAAACGTAGGCGTGGGAAACAAGAAGTCTGCTTTCTAGGCTCAGCTCTGAGCACTGCTCTTCATGGCCTTGGGCCAGTCCCCTAACCCTTCTGCCTATGCAAAGTGAGAAGAGTTAAACTAACCCGCTTCTCAGATGTGGTGCAGTGACTAATTGGCTAAAATTTGTAGCGCCGGCGAGGGAGTGATTAGCTTGGCTCAGGCACCTACAGCCTGCCACAAAGAGCGCGGGCAGGCACGCTGCAGGAGCTCCAGTCAGCGCATCCCGAAGCTCTCTGGCAACCGGTGATGGGTCAAGGATAACTCCACCGGTCTGCGTGCCTACCTTTGGCACTTCACACTGCCTCGTTACCTGCGGTAGCGTTTCCTCACGCAGGTGCCCAGCAGCATCGCTGGTTTTTCTGGGAAGAAACGTTTCCTAACAGCCAACCTGGACCCGGCTGCGGCACGCAGCGGAGGCCATCGGCTCTGGTGCCGTGTGGGCAGCGGGCTGCCAGCTGGTTGTCCTCAGGGAAGCGCCGCGGCTCCCGCCCTTTTTCCACCACACACCGTGCGCGGGAGATGGGGAAAGAAAGCGCCGCGGAGGAGCTTTCGTTTTAATCCGGGTTTTCCCTCCTGAGCTCAAAGCCTGAAGGAAACGAAAAAAAAAAAAAAAAAAAAAAAAAAAAAGCCAACCAAAAAGCAGAAATTACCTCACGTTCACTCAACGAACGCCCAACTTCGCCCTCCGCCGCCCGGTGCCCTCAGGGGGCGGTGCGCGCGCGCGCGCGCGTGTGACTGTGCGTGTGTGTGTGCGTGTGTGTGTGGTGTGTGTATGTGTGCGCGTGTGTCCGCGTGAGGCGAGGCGGCACTTGTCCTCTAATCGATTGCCGAGCGTGCTGAGCGGCCCCGCCGCGCGGCCCCCTCCCCTCGCGTGCCCCCCCCCCCCCCCCCCCCCCCCCCCCCCCCCCCCCCCCCCC